GCGCATGACGTTGTCATGAGGTTGCATGCCTAGAAGTCTGGAAGCAATCTTTCCAGATCCTTTTCTGTTCTTACATTCTTAGTCTATAAACGAGGTGCCCTGTTCAAGGATATTATTTGATATCTGCATGTAAGATCCTTTATTTCTGTTTTAAAATCGCTGCTCATGATTTTCCGCATTTCAGTTAAAGATAGAATTTTAACATGCCATGGATCGCAAAGAGACCATTTGCTCCGATTATTGTTTTCATGTAACTGATAGGTTCGATGGAACCAACTAGGGCTGTACGATCTCCAGTTCGAACGTTGGCCTCAGCAACTTGCCTTTCTTACATCTGAGGTAGAGAGATGAGTTCTTTTGTGAGGGAAAGAAGCAAAATATCCCTGTAATTACCCCTAGTTGCAGACATGCTTTCGATTTTATTGATGGCATCTAAATGAAAATTAGTGTCGCGTAGTTTGTTCCATGATAAAAAACGAGGGTCCTGTCCAAATTCCGAACGGAATTTCGGTCTCCCTTACACTTCCATAAAGGAGCCTTTCGTTAGCGCTCAGCATTGCTTAGTTTTGTTCCCTTCGTATTGTTTGTTTTTTGTTCGCTGTTCCTAGTTTCTTTTTGAAACCTTTTGCTTTATAATATTTCCAGTTAAATTGTTCTTAACCGTGTTGGTCTTATTTCTCTTTGATGTGTGACTTTTATTGTCATGCGTTGCGATGAAGTTCGTATAATTATGTTGAAAAATAATATTCACGGACAATTCTTGATTTATTCACCTAAGATTAGCATTGAAAAGCAGAGATGTCCGTATTCAGTGGTGTCACCATATTGCTGTCTCCGATTACTATTAGCCAGTTTGCGCTACTACAGAAAAGCTTATATTCCCCGACGTGGGCAGGTCTTGCCCAGTGTGGTGTTTCTTAGTTTAATATTGTTTTTCTGCAGGTTTGCGACCAGCGGATAACTTCATAGAGAAGCATGTTTTACGTTTTCAGTTATCATTTTCTCGCTTCGTAGGAACAAATCACATGCTGGTCTCTGAGTTGTCATGGTTTTTTAATCCGATGGTCATCAGCAGTTCTTTGTACATGACGTGATGTTCAAGTCTTAAGGATACTTTGTAAAAGGCGTTAATGGATGCTGTCGGGACGAATTTCTTGCCGTTTCAGAGCAGCAGGCGCTGCTAGATTGTAATGAATTTCGTAAATAAGATTCCCTTTGAGGTGAACTTCGTTGTTGCATATGTAGTCCATTTTTTCCATGCTTCATGCCATTTCCCGGAATTCGCTGATACCAGTCCATCGCACTGATTCATGTTAAGATTAAGGCTATATTCTTTAGCCAGGGTTATTTTAGATTTTCAGATTTTTACTGGTGTTATCATTTAGTGAGTGTGATGTTCGGTTTTACGCCTCAAACAATCTAGTTCATCATCGATATATCACTTAGTTATACGACGTGTAATATTGTTCTCAGAACGACGCCCCTTCTAAATGCAGGTCATGATATCAGACACCTGATTCCGCTTCAAGAGTTGACTACTTTAGTCGAAGTTTGCTACATCTTGGTAGTGGTTTCTATTTCAAGACGGTTGTCATTCTTTTGATTTCAGGTCTGTGTCAGAATCATGAGTTAGAATAAGGTGTCCGGATAAATTTTCATTTCTTTCATTGATGCTGAACGCTGATCATGTCGTTGAGAATTTTAAATGCTAAAATTTGCTAGAGAACTAACCAGCACGCGGCATGAAGTTTTCGCCCGTGTTTATTACAGAGATGCCAGTTATGTATTATGAACCTAACGTTATGTTGTTTCATAGTTATGATTTTTCTAGTTACCTTGATTTGCATTTTGATTACGAGTCTATGGTTTGTCTGCGAACTATCGGAATACCTGAAAGTGGATATAGTAGAAGAGTTATTCGTTGACACATCGACCAGCGACGCCGGTTTGCAGACCAACTTCGATATTGTTTTCTACACGTTACCTTGTGCCTGTAAGAATTTTTCTTATTGAATGAAAAGTGAGGCTTTGCAGTTCCTTGAAAACGATTTTCGTTTTAAATATTTACTGGCGCAGATGTCACAGTACAAGTTGGCTATGACGACTTTGGAGAAAGTCTTCTACCTGACGATTGTGTATATTCATATCCTGATTGTCTGATAGATATGACACCTTCCTTGACTAATATAATACAATTTATCGACGACTTATTCGAATTCTAGCAGGAATTCCATTGCCGACATTGGCTGATTTCTGAGTTGACTGCGAATTCGAACTGGAATAACCGTGATTGTTGACTGTCACAGTTATGATTTCATTTTGAGTGAAAGTTTCTTCATTATACTGATATTATGTTGCTAGTCATATCTGTCGATTTAATGGACATATCCGGCAAGCATCAGAACGACGTCGTGCACAACGTCTGGAAGAAGCGACTGGACAAGAACGGCAAGGCGCTTGAAGATGTGCCAGAGAAAGAAGGTATTCAGTTTTCTGTGGTATTGTTTTCATATTGTCAGTCAAAAACTTGTTTACGACTTATATGTTTCACGTACACGTGTTAACATGTTTGTGTGCACAACCTCGCGGACAAGTGCTCCCGCCGTTTTTTTTGCATATGATGTGTCGAAATGAGCTAATTCCAACAAGAAAAGGGTCCCAATTCATATGAACGCTATTCTGATGTAGAATGTAAGCGGTATGAAGCTTCACCCCGTTGTCTGCGTATTACATCATCAGTGTTTTGGTATGTAATCGACTTGGTTTGGTAATGGCATCGCTTTCAAATATCAGACAGACTTTTTCGTATTAAATGTTAATTATCTTGAGCAAAGATGTAATGTTTCTATTTTCCGTTGTTGTAAACCTCTGAAATTACTGTTTTTGAATGTTCATATCGCAGTTGCACTGCGCGGCTGGTCGATTTGTTGCTCCGCATTAATGCGGATGCTACGACAGACCCATGCACAATAGCGTTATATCTTTCACTTCTCTTAGCTTCTTTTTAAACCGCACACATACGTTGTTTTTCTTGGCTACCAGTTCGTCCACCTAGTAATCTTTGTTGTCGAAGAGAAAGCTACTGCATTTGTTAAAGAGGTGAAAGCCCCAGTTGAAGCAGCGTCGAAATTTTTTACACCTGCCGGTTATGTTGAACGTTATGATCCTATCAAAGGATGTCTGTTTTGTATTGAGGAAATTCGTGAACTTGAATGCGCTTAAGTGGGGTCAAACCAATGACTCTCGTGCCTAATCGAATATTCTTTCTGATTTCTTGTATAGAACTGCGCGCTTCTAAATGTTTTTCTTTATTTCTATAGTTATATCACTATGGAGGTTGAATACTTATCATGCCTGCTTGAAATTTTTAGCAAACGTTGTCGAACTTGTGACTAAATAATGCTGTTAGTAGTCCTTCAGCCCTGATTGTTTTGTTCAAGATATATTTGTATAAACTGCCTTTTTATGGTTGTTACTGCTTCGTCGGCAGACTGCTTCTGGGTTTTAGCCTTTGTGGCTGCCACGACTATTGTCATTTAGGCTAACTTAGCTTTAGCATAAGAGGTGACCAGATTTGTGATGTCTGACCGCTTGAAATGTCAATATGAGTAACGCCTCAGGTAAATATTAGGTAACGTTCGATGTGGCGATAAATTTTTATTCGTTGTTTACTCATATTTTATGTTGTATACTGGTTTACTTGAACGAGATATTTCCAAATTTGTTTCCGCTAACTCCTTTGCGGCAATTCTACCGTACTCATGAGGAACCCATTTTTGAACTGTTTGATCAAACTAAACCGGGTTAAAAGCTCTGAGTTATTTATTTCTTACACCGGCAGCAGTTTTTCGTAATAATCAGGTTTTACCATCGCACTTTAATAACGCTTAATAAATATCATTTTTGGATGCTGTTCAGACAAGTATATGACGTTTCAGGACAAGTCTTTCCAGATATACATGGGGATATGTGATAAAGTTGTCTCCTCTGAAACTGCCGAATGATAAATTACTTCTAGTAGCCGCTCACTGATTATCCGTATGATTGGCTTCTGCAGCGCCGCAAAGAATGTGATTC